TCACAAGAACAGTAAGATTTTGAGAGAAAAAAATGACACATAACTTTTCAAATTGCTCTTTTTATTATTGGTTTTACCATTATTTTTTTTTCTGTGTCAAATTTAAAATTTTGTCAGGATAAATACTGCATGGATGAATGTGTGCATGGTATCTGTAGGGTTTGGTACTGTTTGAGGATCCACATGTCGTGCTGGGGTTCTGGAACATAACTCCTGCAGATAAGATGCAAATGACATTTGATGCTGTGCTGGAATTCGGATGCTTAGCACAATATGATTGTTGAATCACAGCATCTGGCATCCATGAGCATTTCCTACTGCTACTTTGAACATCTGTTCATACATCAGTTCCCTTAGAAAGCCTCCTCTTCAAAGTTCTTCCATGTTCTACTATGCAACATCCTTTGCCATCTGGACATCCTGCACTGCCTCTTTAGTCATGGTGATATATGCTCTCATAAAACATCCCATAGATAATTTCATAGTGTTACTCAGTTGTTGAAAAAATAAGGGTTATGTTACTCAGAATTATGGTGCATACTTGAAAAGAATTCTTAGCTGTCATGGAGTCTCTGTTGGGCACTTGGACTAAAGAATATGGCACATGCATATTCCTTGAAGGCGTAAACTTGAGAGGTTGTCTTTGAATCACCTCATAACTCCTTGGGATTCTTTGCATAATATTAAGTAGAATTAAATGTCTCCTTGGTCCTCCATATGGTGTTTGGCAGGATCTAGTTCTTAAAACTATAGCCCACCCTTGTCCTCAGTACCTATCACTGTGACTGACAATTTTTAAGTGTGTGTCTCTTCTAGACTAATCTTGAGGTAGGTGCTATGTTTTTTGTATTGCTGGGTTTGTTACCTGGCACATTTGCTAGATGTTTAAGTGTACATGGAATGGAATGGACAGTTGTTGGTAGGATGACTGTGTGTCTGTGAAGTGGTTAGTGTTTCTGGTCTTGTTACCAAAGATTCCTTTACTTTTTCTTGTTGTCTCAAGTATATTCTAATTTTGGAAAGATTCTGTTATTGTACTGTTTTACATAAAAGGTAACTTTCCTAATAATCAGTCAAATTCCTAGTTCTTGATGAGTTTGAGATTGACTTGCTTGCTATTATGATGGTTGATATTCAGCCAAGGGCAGGAATTTTTCAGGCAAGCCTTGTCACTCATCAGTATGGGCTCATTGGATGTGTAATCCAGAGAGTGCTTTCTCCATTACCATTTCCACAGCAGGCTTTCAGGGCACTGGAGACTGGAAAAGAGAAGCCAGTAATTCTCCAGGACCAGTGCCTTTCTTTCTTTCAGCTTGAGTGTCTTGAGGCCACTACAAATTTGTACTACTCCAAATACACCTTTTGGGCTTCATTAAGACTGATTAGCCAGGTTGGAAATCAGAGCTCATTTGGTGAAATGCTTACCTGAGTATGGTTCCCAGAACCCATGCTGAAAAAAAGCTGACATGATGGCACATGCTTATCAATTCCAGTGCAAGAGAGAGAGTCCCTGAGGCAATCCCACCTATTCTACTTGGCAGGCAAGTTCTAGGTCAGTGAGAGACTCAGTCCACAAAATAAAATGGACATCACCTGAGGAACAACAGCTGAGGTTGTTGTCTGGCCTACATTAACACATACATATATATGTGTGCTTCCCCACAAGAACATGCATGTAACCTTGCCCACACCTCAAAAAAGTAAAAGACTGATTAACTGTATTATTCCCTATTTGACAGGTAGTTATTATTTGGATAGCAGCAAATGAAACAAGTATGAACCAGTTTAAGATGCTAACTAATATCTAATGATTTAAGTTTTTATGCAATTAAATGTGTTTTTAGAATTATAACCAAGAGAAGTATGCCCTGCAAAGAGAAGTTGAGCTTAAGAGTCGGATGTTAGAAAGTTTGAGCTGTGAATGTGAAACTGTGAAACAACAACAGAAAATTCAGCTGGAGCAGTTAGAGATGCAGCTAAGCAGAAGCCACAGGCTGGAAGTGAATGACCTGACAAATAAGGTTTGGATCTGTGTATCAGAGCAAAATATCCTGTGTTTGTATAGAGATCTGTAAGTACTGGTTGGTTGGTGCAGGGTGTGTGGGGGACAGGGGGTTGCTTAAGTACTAGCTATGCAAAATGGCCCAAAATAAGTTTTGCTATCTTCACGTTTTGAGTGGAAATGCTGAGAAATAAGAGCTATTAAAGGAATTTGTATACATATTAGCCTTCTAATGACATGAAATTATTTATTATTTAAATTTGGTATCTGAATATTTGTATTTGTAATATTGGTGGCTAGTATGGTCACTTTGTAAGGTCACTAAATAGTTCTGTAGCAGTTCCTACAGTTAGTAATGTGTTGCTACTCTGCTTACGAACCAGTACTGTCTTGTGAGTTAATGTGCTTTAGAGGTGAAACTTCATAATGTATTTATGGAAGACCCAGTTCTCAAAAGAATTTTATGAAAGATGTAACCTTATCTCCATTATGACAGACAAGGATGCTGAGGGCTAGGCAAACTGAGGAGCTTGAACAAAATAAGAACTAGAAATTATCAGCTGCTGTTTGAATTGAGGCTATCTGACAGTAAACCCCAGTACTGAGTTTGTGTCCAGTATGTAAGGAATCTAGTGCCGTTGTAAACACAGAGTAGTTCAGTGAATGTCCATTCACTTTCAGAACCCCCAACTGCCCTGTGCCTTCAGTTTACCTCTAAGAAATCTAGGGCTCTGTTTATGCTTCTCTTCATATGCAGTTTGTTACCCTGATGTTTGTTTGCAGATCCTACTCTATGAAAACTTGATGAGATTGTTTAAAAGTCTGTTTTTCAATCTTTAGTATTTTGTATAGTGTCTTAATAATTTTCTAAGTCTGTTTCCACCTGTAATTTTTCATTAAACTACAACAAAATTTTCCATTTTGAATAATGATGTCGTTGAAATCATATCCAAGTAAATAATGCTTTTGTGTAATACAGAATTATCTTACCTGTGACTCTGACAGGTAGTAATCCTGTTTACAGCTATTCTGATTGAGACATGGATAACTGGAAATGATGTATTATTTTTCATTCCTGCATGGATTTGGCAGAAGCCCTAATTACCTAAGCAGATATGATAGAGGAAATAGTTTGGACTAGGTAAAGCAAACGTAATTATAAAGATGGCTTTTCTATAGAAGAAAATAACTTTTTTAAAAATGGTATTGCTGATATTCTCAAACCATTTGTTTTTAAATTCTCAAGGTTTACTCATCTTTTTCTTATTTCTCACATTTAATCTGTCGTTGAATTCCAAGGGTTGACCTATAAAATATCATGGTAGCTCTTATCTCTGTAGTCCAGACTATCATCACACTACTGTGGTCTTCTAACCAGGTTACCTGCCTGCATCATTGTTACCCCATGTCTCTTCTTAAGGGCTGGGGATGAGGACTGCTTCATGTTCTTTACAGCTGCCTCATGGTTAGTTGTTTCTTCATTTGCTTCTAAGAAAACTAGATCTACTTGGATGACTAGTGTAGATTGTTCCTGAATTTCTAGAACAATATAGGCCACTGTTTAAAAGATGCTTAGTGGGTAGGGATGTAACTTGGTGAGAGATACTTGTAAACCACTAGTGTAGATTGTTCCTGAATTTCTAGAACAATATAGGCCACTGTTTAAGAGATGCTTAGTGGGTGGGGATGTAACTTGGTGAGAGTCACTTGTAAACCCAAGTCCCTTTGTTCAGTTCCCAGCACTGCCGGTGGGGAGTGGGTGGGAGAGTTGCTTTGCTCATGTCACTCAGATCCAGTGAGTTTCTGTAGAGTAGCATCTGGAAAATCAGGTATAAACTCTAACTCCAGTTATCTGGAAGGAAATTCAAGGAACCTTGAAGGTTGTGAAACTTTCTTTCCTTTTTCTGATTTAGTTAGAAAAACTCAAAGTGGAATTAGATGAAAAGAGGGTAAGTGAAAAGCAGCTGAAGCAGAAGCTGGAT